GAGGACAACCGCGTCCTGCCTGCAGGGCCAGGCCTCAGAGGCAGGGCCCATCCCGCCGCCCCAGGCAGGGAGCAGGGCAGACCAGGGGCAGCTCTGGCCCCAGACACTGGGCACTTCCCTGGGGATGGGGACAGGCCACGGCCACGCCGATCCATCGATCCATCAGAGCCTGAACGGGGGTCAGGATCAACAAAGACTGTGAGCGGGCACAGGCAGGGCTGTGGTGGAACTGCAGGCAACTGCTCCTCAGACACGGTTCAGGCAGGGGCTGATCCAGTCCCACCCTGAAATGGATCCCCTGGGCCCACAGGGCAGGAGTGGTGGGAGACCCCAGGTGAGGCAGCTCAGGGCAGTTTAGGCCTGTTAGTGCCCTCAGGAACTAAATGGTGCGAATGTAAAAGTTCCCAGTTGTCTTGAATTCCACACAAAAACCTTACCGCAATTCGTTCTTGTTTTCTGTAAGTGATACACAAGGCTAACTAACATTTTTTGTGCAGCGTTTTGCAGTAACTCCGCTTCCTAAACAGACCTCTGGGCAGAACTCCAACTGTAGCTTTTGCTTGGCTTTTTTTTTTTCCCCTTCCTCCTATTTTTTTTCTTTCCCCTTGAAGTTCAAGCAGGAGAAAGATAAGAGAATAACAGCTTAACTGAAAAAATGTCTGAAAGGGAGATGTTTCCCAGCCTTTCTTATTTGTGGATAGCTAGAGATGGTACAAACTGTATCCAAAAGCTTATTGCTACAAAGTTCCACCTCTGGATTAGTTCCTACTGTAGCAGACCTTGTGCAGGGTGAACTGAAAATAATCCTTGTGCAGGATGAATAATAATAATAAATATTAAATGTCTGCTAGTTGTGGTGCTGGAGGTGTGGTACTTCTACCAGTTACTGGAATTTAAGATCCTGTGACTCTGCTCTTGTTATTCTACCAACTAAAAGAATGTATTTTGCTTGATATAGTAGCAATATGCCAAGCTTTCTGTATTGCTAGTATGCAGCATACAGTGGCATACTTAAATATGATTGTTCTTTTTTTCCAAGTTAAGCACAGGCAGCTTGTCAGTGATGCTTTGGTGGAGTTCCTTATGTGGATGAGATTTATTTTTTTTGCTTCTGCTGTTGTAGAACATGTGATGTGTCTGAGACTTAAGTGAAATTCATGGAAGTGTATTAGGACGGTTTCTATCATAAACATAGACAGGTGTTTTCACAGAAAACTGAGTCCTAGCTGAATCAATCTAGACATGGAGTTATAGTTAATTCTCAAAGTCTAGTCTCTAACATAGCAACAAAGGACCAAGCGCTGGTAGCAGATTGTGATGGAACGGTGGAAAATCTGAAAGTAGTTTCCTTTTTTCCTGTTTATACCGGTCACACTTCTGTTAATGGAGAAGAGCAGGTTTCCTCCCATGCAAGTCTGTGAGGTAAATAAAAGCTCATATTTCATTTCTGAGTGGAGGCAGCCACAGAGAAAGACAAAAACTAAAATTTTTCAAAGTACCATAAAGATGTTGGGTGCTTTATTCCGATATTCAGAAAAAGAATGACAGAGTTTTTAAGGAACATAGTCATTCCTCTTGCCCATACTGAAACTTAAGTAACTGAAGAGTCTAAACTACACCAGCAGTTAATTGATAGATTCCGAGTTTCAGATATTTCAAAATATGTGGTATCTAAGTACTTAGAAATGGTGTGATCTAGACTCTCTATTGTAGCATGTTGCTAAAGTGCTGTAGTACCATAAATCTGACAGTGGAATTTTAAAATGTTCTGAGTTCTATAACTCCATTTTATGTCACTGGAAACTATATGTCTAAATATTTTTTAAATACTTTGAGGTACTAAAATATTTTGAGAAGTTTGAATATTTTAGAAAATCTGTCCCTAATGCTCTTCGGAAAGTAACAACTCATAAAATAACTTGCTTTCAAAATGTTAACTATCCAGATTTGCTGAATGTGACAGAGGGATCGTGATGGTTTCACAACTGAATCTGTGCTTTACAAAAGTCAGGCTACTGCCTAGAACTATATTATATTTATTTATTTCCAATTTTATTTCCTCTGGTGTAAAGAGCTGAGGCACCACAGAATTCAAGTTTAGGCTAAGGATATACTGTTACATAGAGTTAAACATTGTGATGTGTACTTTTTGTGTTCCCAACCATGGAGAAATCACGGAGGAGAGCACATACTTCATCTTCTTACTTTCATACATAGAAAGCTCCCTCCATCCACTTGGAGAGGGTAAATCTCTCTCTAAACAGAGTATTGATATGATAATTCTGAGAAATTAGTTTACATGAAGTAAGAATAATGTAAATGCTGACCTGATTAATTGAAAAGTGCCAATTTCCTTCCTCTGTAGGTCATTTTTCAGGATTTTTTTGACTGGCTCAAATATCTTCAAAGGCAGATTGTAATAGAGTATATCAGCATAATAATACTTTCACGGCAAGTTGTTATTAATGCTATGGGACTTTTATAATGTTTATTTTAAACAGAGCAACTGATGAAAAGCAGTCTGATTTGTTGTTTATCATTTTAGCTAGAACATGTGGTTCTAATTTACGTGGACCAAGTGGGATCATTACGTCACCAAATTATCCAGTTCAATATGAAGACAATGCACACTGTGTGTGGGTCATTACAACAACTGATCCAGAAAAGGTATGCTTTGTCTCTTTGTCTCAATTAGAACTGTAGAATTTGGGATTTGTCTTAAAATTATTTCAGACGTATTTGCACGAATGTGTGAACACATGCATGTGAGTAAATTCATTTAAATAAAAAAGTGACTAGAGATGTTAAGAAAATATATTGGACACTAGGGAAAAAAAATAGTAATAACTGTGAAAATGTCCACTCAGAGTAATAGTTCTCTATTAAAGTTTCCAAGTTATAAATACACTTTTTAATAAAATACATAAAATTATATTCAAAATCACAGATTGCTAAATGAGTTGATAGTGGATTTTCCAAGTTTCATCTTGATTACCATTGTTGAATCTTAGGATAAAACCAGACATATATCTAAGTACTTTGTCTGATCTTGTTAGGTGTTTTACTGCCTACAACATTTATCTTTTAAATCCACTGTTTTCCAATAATGATTCTAAATACATAGCTATGAATAATTATGCATAAAATATTAGTAATAATTAAGTATTCTTATTACACTCTAGTGTACTGACATGCATTTTTACTTGTGGTTCTGTAAAACCAATTTACTTCCTCAATAAAGCACATAGACTTATGAATTAAATAATTACAATCAGTTGAAGAACGTACAGTCTATATGCACTTTCTTAATTACAAAACATGTATTTCATATGCAAGTTTTTGGGAGACTGTATTCTTGACTTTGATGTAGTTAAGGAAAAAATGTTTAACTTTATCTCACCATAAATTAATGCAAATGTTTAGCTGCAGTAATAATTGTTTTTGCTGCATGCTTTTGTAGCATATTGTTGAGGTGTAAACAGAGTTTCATTAAATCATTAAGTTCACTTTTTCTTAAAGCAGATTTAATACCTCAATAAGACAAAAGTAGGAAAAATATCACACTATAGAATTTTACTGTAGCGGGACTGCTCTCTGAAGAGAAAGACCTTTTTTCAGTTCTGAACAGAACTGTTATATCTTATTTAGTATAGCAATTAGAAGTGACTGTCACTGACCTTTGACTTCAAAGTGATTAAATTGTATAGAAAATAGTAAATAATTTTGCATTTTTAAATATGGACAAGCACTTAAAATATGAAAAATGTCTGACAAATGCACCTACTCACATTTGTATTCAGTAATATGTAGTCTCACTGATTCTGCAAAATGCAGTATAGTTTTGTAAGAGAAACTGTAAGAGTGCATCAAAAGAAAAGTGAAATTACTACTAATAGAAGACAGGTTTGGCATGTTAATGGTTTCTTTATTCAAAATTATTCCATAATTTTTTCTGTTTTTTTTTTACCTTGACTTTTCAAGAATTTTAATTAAGTGTTGTTTTTCATATTTATAATAAAATAAATACAGCAATCTACTTGCTGATTGCAAGAAAGTTTAACTGTAATAATAATACAAAAATTGTTATTGACTCTGCAGTGTATTATTAAACTGTACGTTGTATGTTTTCTGTGGAGGCTCAGACTTACTTGTGGAAAACAGTAACAAGTGTCTACTACACTCTGTCTACTACAGTAACATATAAATTCTGTTCATTCTATACAATATATTTTTCTCAGTGGATTTAGGATTTTAGTAGGGCAGACCTTAATGATAGTGGTGTGGATTAACTTATTACTTTGTTCACTGGACTCGAAAAGGCACTCATAAGTAGTATTCTGTGGGCAGGGTGATAGTTCATCAGTCACAAGAATACACTGAAGGATTTGCACACCCAGACAGATTAATTACTTTATTATGTTCAAAATGAAGAGGCATGAGTACAAGGCTTGGAGCTTCCACCCACAAAAAATCCCACAGTTACATCCAGCTGGGTGGAAGGTAGAGAGATACACTAATAGATGTATTGATAATCACAATGTAAGAAGAAGAGGTGGAGCGTTAAGTCTTCCTGTTCCAGACGGGATGGGCAATAGGACATGTATTGTCTTTTTATTAATCTGGGATTTGTCTAGCAGTGCAACAAAGGAAGATTATTTTCTTAACTTCATGTATCTTGGAAAGATGGATATTTACTTTAGGACCATGATGGCTGAGAATGTGAAGTCTTAAAATCAGACATATTTAAAGCTTACAGTATCCTCAGGTTGCTTTCACATAAAGCCTACATCATACTTATCAGTATGTGTCAATACAAATCTGATATTGGGACTTCTATCCCAAAATAATTGAATTGAGAGTTAACACAGAGCTTTTTGGATGATAAAAGATATGAAGGAAAATGCTTTTACTTTACAGACTATCTGACCAAAATGGAACTCTTTTCCTACTTCTTTCTAAAGAAAAATATCTTGCTAGCATTTTGAAACCTGTGACCTTTAAGAAATCAATTACAAAAAAAAGTTTCAGGTTTCAAATACAATTAATTGATTTTAAGATAAGCTGAAAGTTGTGCAGCTTTTCATCCTTGACTTTTGTTGGAGTTATGAATGACAGGACTCTTGAAAGTTGAACTGTGTATTGAAGGTCTGATTTTAAGATTAGACTGAAGAACCTACTCTTTTTCCCCATCAGATTTGAAAATATTTGTCACAATGCTTAGGGTCTGTGTTTGATTTTCTTTTCCAAGAAGGTAGACAGTTCATGACATGTTGTTACCGTGTATTTTAAATTAGCTTTTACTTACTCTAGCAGTGAATTTGTGTCCCTTCATCAGGTTAGTTTACACATAGCGTTTTACAAGATAAGACAGTGTTTCCTCTTAACAGAAGATTCTGTGAAGTTTAAAGAAGATAGTCTAGTTGAGGTGGTGCCCTTGCACAAAAAATTTAACATAACGTGCTGGAATATTTTATAGAATAAATTAAATAAGTGACAGATAAAATTTTCTAAATTTTGCATTCTGGTGCTGTTAGTTGGGAGATTTTTAACGCCAATTCAAAATGAAAACAAACTTCAACTTCCTATGGGGCCAATAGCATAATTCCAGATTGTAACCATCCATATGAAGACCATTGTTAGGGTAATGTTTTTCTAGCATTTATTTGCCTTTTTCTGAGCAACAGAAAAATCTAAGTTAAGCTTGATTCTTCTCCTGTTCAGAGGTATTTCTGTTAATGCTTGTCTTATTTCGAAGAGTTGACTTTCTTCCCTTAACATTTATTTGTTTCCTCTGGGTCTCACTATTGTAGCTTCTGATCAGCATCCTACTGAGTCATTTATTAGACTTTTAGTACTTGCAAATACAACTTTATGGTGCTCTTTTGACTCTCTGTCAAGTACATGCTGTAATTCTTGGTAATTACATCGTTTTAGTTGTTCTGTTATGCAGTTTCTCAACTTTTTGGAATCAGTTACTTTGGACTGTTCTGAGCTCTTACTCATCTGTTGTCTTTATCTCTTTCCTTCTGTTAGCGTAATCTTTTCAGTATGTTCTAAGCATGCCTCTATCCCGCGCTGTCTCAGTTCATTCTCCAGGCTGTGCATTTTTTCATAAGACTTACTGCCTTGGATTCCTTTTTTAGATGCAAAGGCTTCAGTTTTCAGCTCCAGTGTCTGTAGTAGTGCAAGGTTTGGTGGTGTTTCAGCAATGATACCTAGTTTTGCACAATATTTTCCTGACTAGTTGCAGATTGTGGTATAGATGTGCCATGGGCTCCAATAGTAAAAAGAGACTATGTCCCAATTACTTTTCGTAAGAATGTACTTTCTCCACAGTACAAAGCATAGGTGGTATCTGTTTAGGCCTAGCAACTTTCTTTACAAAAAAAATTATTCACTGCAAGTGCCATAATTGAAGACATTGAAATTAATTAGAGGGAAGGCGTGAAACTTCACATACAGTTTTACAGGGCTGAGCCTTCAGGTTTTTGTGTAAAGTTGGACTATACCTTAACATGTTGTCATAAAATGGTATTTCTGATTTGTTGCCTTTCAAAGCACAGAGGTGAGGAAACCTCAGGAGAACATTCTTGCTCAGGAAAACTTTCCCCAGTTGACAGCTAGGGAATCCACATACTGTTAAGGTTGATTTTGAGATAATTTATTTTAAGATAGTTGATTCTTACAATACGCTCTAAAAGAGAAGTCTTGCTAAGTAGCATATGATAATATGCAGGGTTTTTTGAATGAGGTTATCTTGCTGATCCATGGATTGGTTCTAAGTTTGTGGCAGCTCAGATCTAATCCATTGATGACATCCCTGTCTTCCACAGATTCTTACTTCCATGTAAGTTGCTTACACATATATGATAATTTGCAATGGATTTAGAACCTTTGTTTCAATAGGCAAGTTTGCTCCAGTTAGATGGCGTTATTGCATTACGTGGAGTGTTTTTTTAGAAACCGTGTCCATAAATAGACTGTTTCTTCAAAGCTTCGTTAAACACAGGGCTTCTCTCCCTCTGAGTGGCTGATCAGACCATTCTGGCACAAGTAATAGGATGTTTGTCAGCATGTCTAATGTCTACAGCATCTGCAGTCTAACGCTACACTCTGACTGGGGAAGAAAGCTCTTGCTAAGCACCACGTGTCTCATCCCTGCAGAGATTACCAGAGCACTGCCACAATATTAATTTTTATCTATAGAACTTATCCTCTCTTACTGTACCACAGTGTTTTGGGCTGCAGAGATCTTGATCTCCAAAAATACAGAGATCTAAGAACTGCTTTCACTATACTTTTGTATATTCTTGGCAATGTACAGGGTCATTCTAGTGATTTGCTAAATTCTTACTATTTCATAAGTCTCAGGATAGATTTAATAGAGTGAAGGAAAAGGTCGTGAATTTAGAATTGACTCATTTGTACATCCTGTGCCATCTAGATCATACAAGGTCTTTTCCATGGTTAATGATTCTATGATTCTATACAAATACACTAAGAACTCTGTGAAAGGATGATTTCCCATGGTGTGTTGAAAATGAAAGTACAGTTTTATATGCTCTTCTGTCCTTCACACAGTGTTACTGCTGAATTTTGTGCCATATCTAAATGTGCATATTCAAATTTAAAGTTCTTTATTTTTCATTTGCTGGAACAGTGTCTTT